GTGGGGGCTGGCCTGGGGCTAGACTCACACCAGGGAAGGTGGGTGACACCAGTGCTCAGTGCAGCTCATCGGGGCCATTCCCTAGGCCACCTGAGCTGCTTCCTTCACTGCAGCCCCTTTGTGCTGGTAGTGGGCTGGCCCCCTAGCAGCCAACTCCAGTCCAGTCCAGTCAAACCTGTAGGCTGCGGCTGCATAGCCAGCACTGCCCTGGCCTTCCTGGAGATCCCACCTAGTGAGCTGGTACTGTACAGGGCTCTCCAGGTCCAAAAGCTTTGGCAGGCAGCGGGGTTTCTGAATGGCTTTGCAGCTGCCAGGGTCACTGGGGCATCCCCAGTTCCCAGGCACCCGACAACACCTCCAAGTGGGGGAGAAAAGTCACGGCTCCCTGGAACGACTAGGGGCTCTTGTTGCATCTGCAAAGGTGCCGTGCACAAACTGCCCCGGAGCTTGGCGGCTTGCTGCAAAGGTGGATGCAGTGTGCCGCTCGCCTCCATTTCCTGGGCTCTGGCTCTGAGCTGTGACTGTGGAAGTCATTGGCAGGGATCGCCAGTGAGAGCAGCTGGGATGGGAGAGCTCTGGGAGACAGGCAGCATCGATGAGCAGATCACTGCTGTACCCTGCTTCCTTCCCTCTTACTGTAGCTCTCTGGTGCTTGTGTCCCTTCCTCTCACGGTGTGCTAGGAAACAGTGCAGATGCTAGCAACTGGTCTGTAAGGAGACAGGAAGGATTTTTTTCACCCTCTACCCACTGGAGGGGGCGTTCAGAGGAGTTGGCTGGTGGCCTGCTCAGCTGTGGGAGACAGAGACCTGCCCTGTGCAATGGTGGAGCTGGAAGGGACCTCGCAGGTGCAGTACCAGCCACTCCTGAGCCATCCGAGGCAAATGTCCAGCTTCTTCTTGGATCCTTCTAATGAAGGCGACTACTCGCACACTGTGAGTCCCCATCTCCCTGCACCCTCTTGGCACCAGTTCCTAACTTCAGCAAAGAGCCCAGATGTGGACCCTGGAGTATGCCCTCCCCATGAAGCACGGCAGCCCAGGGCTTGCGCAGTGTGCAGAGGGAACCCCAGCCAGGTATGTGAAAGGTGCCCTGGGTACCACACACTGGGAAGGGATCTCTGGATCAAGAGGAGGCTGCTGCTGTTTGAGTAGCAAGAGGCTTTTAGACACCCAGGTCTGGGTTCAGCCCCTTCTGCTGAAGCCAAGGGCGTAATACAGCTGTACTTGCATAGCTGCTCCTGTGCTGTGCCCATGCTCCTACCTCCAACCTCCCTGGCTCCCTCCTTTGCCACACGTGGGCCTGAGGGCTCTTCTGGCCACGGGAATTGTGGCTATTTAGGGTCTGACTCACCCACTTGGGCTTTTCTGTCCACGCTCCTGGTTTAATGGTTTCAAAGGCAGGCTCCTTGTTTAAGGACCAGTAACAGCTGTGATGGGGCAGCTAGGCATCGCTCCCACTCCAGCTGCAAACCTCCCAGAACAAGGTGCCAGCAGGAGTCTGCTCCCACGGCCAAACGAGATGCCTCTCTGCAGGCTTCCAAGCAGGGTGCTGGCATGGAGGTGGTGATCTGCAGGTGATGGGGCGCTCCAGCTTTTCTAAGAGGTGAGAGGCCCTTTGTAAAGCCCCTCGCAGCAGCTTCTCTCCTTCCCTGCCACATGTCCTCAAGCTGCAGCACAAGTCATGTTAAGCATTGTGCACCTGAGCTGCTTTCCCCCTGAGCTCTGCGCCTCGTGCATTAGGCGGCTAAAAAGTGCAGGAGACCAGCATATCTGCGGGCCAAGCGGGAGAGAGGTGCCCGTGCCCGGCACAGTGACACAAGGCACTCTGAAACGGTTGTGGTCACCAGTGGCTTGTTCCCTCCCCTGTAGGGCTGCAGCAGTCTGGGTGCTGGAGTTTGCTGTCAGCCTCTCTCCTGCCAGGAGCAAAGAGATGGGAAATAGGGCGCAGGCAGTGGGTGCCTGGCAGCCAGGTGAGCGCGGGGGGAGAGCGCACGGTTTGGGGGCTGGCTGTGGCTGGGCTGTTTCCTTGCCTCCACCTGCTCCAAAGGCTGCTGGTGGCTTGGACTCTACCCTGCAGGTCAGGGCTGGCTGGCAGCTGCAGCAAGATGCAGCATCATTGCAGTGGCCCCTGCTTGGCATTTGCTTGGCCTCGGTAGTGAGGCCCCCGCAGCAAGACCAGGCCCACGGTATGCCATGGTTCTTCATGTGAGTGTATGCTGCATCCCCATGGGCTCGATCCAGAGGGTTGCTAGGCAGAGCAACCCCCCCTGAATCTGGGTAAGGGCTGCTGGCTTTCCAGCCCCTTCAGGGATGGGCCCGACTTGCATACACATGAGCTTCGTGGGTGCTTACTGAGGGCCTGCCACGTGCCTCAGTGGCTCCCTGAGTCTGAAGCCTGAGCCTCAACAGGCCTGCAGGACCACTACATCTCTGAGAGGGATGGAAGGGTTTCTAGGTGACGCACTGCATCTCAGCAGACCGCAAAGTAAAAACACGGGGGCAAAATCTGCCTTCACTTGCCTTGGATCGTGGCGGCTTTACCACGTAGATACCAGAGGGACCGTGGCTGGTGGCGGAGCCCTGGCTGCTGGGAGTGGAGGCTTCTAGCTACTACTGCAGTGCAAGTGATTGACTGGCCGACAGCGAGTCTGGAGCAAAGCCACGGGTGGCAGCAGAGTCATTCTGGATATACCCAGATGTAGCCGAGGAATTGCTGCTTTGTCTCGCGGCACGTGACATCTGTCCCACTAAGGAATATCCCCATGAAGGGAGAACCACCTGAGCTGCCATCTATCCCCCACTCCTTCGGACACGCTGCCCTGCTTGTGGCTGTTCGTAGGCGCTAGCTTCTAAGAGCTCTCGCCTTCCCCTCGTCGAGGAGGATGCTGTGCTGTGGGGATGCTAATGTGGTGTTTAGTCTTGGAGATTGTGTTGTGGGGGGGAAGGGCAGCAAATCCTCGAGGCATCGCACAAGTGATTGTGTGGGGATAACAACACTATTGCCAATTAAATTACCTGATTGAGTCTGGCTTTGATGTGCAGTTTATAGAAGGCACTTGCTAATCCACCAAGTCGAATCTCGTTTCACCAGCACTTAGCTGTGCCTTTAACAATTGCAAGGGTTTCATTTCGCTCGATTTCATGTCCTGCCCGTCACTGGACCTTCGGGGCTTTCGGGAGATAGATGAGACTTTGATTTTAATGAAGGAATCTGCTTGGCAGTGCTAAGAGTGCAGCCGCGCGAGCGCTTGAGGGACCTCGGTGGACAGCGAGGCAGCGCCAGGCTTTGGGCTCATCACACGAAGGGACAGGTCCGTGTTCCAGGGGGCCGCGTCTCCAGCAGACAAGCCAGCCAGTCCCGAGCACGGCTCCAAAACGGTAGGGCCAGGTTTTTGCTTCGCTCTGGAGTGAGCAGCGGGTTGCTGGAGTGGAGCCACTGGTACCTCTCCCCCTTCTGCTGCTCCGGACGTGTCACTTAATGGCTGTCTGCACAGCAGGGAAAGACAGGATGCAGTGGCTGGGGCTGGTGCGTCCCCTGGTGCCGTGTGGTGGCCTCTCCTTGAGTGGGAGCCCACCTAGATGTGTGTGGTTTGCCCAGTAGTACTGTGGCACTATGGACAGGTGGGGCAGTGAAGAGCTGGAGTTCAGGGCTCCTGGTTCAGCTGTGGTGGGACATCAGGCCTGGGCGAGCTGACCTGTTCAGGCTCATCCAGGCACACAAGAGGGCCGGGTGAAGCAGATGAACAGTGCATGTCATGAATGGTGTGGGGATGGCTGAGGAAAGGCTGGCAGGAGCGTGGAGGGGTCAGCTGTGCGCTGCAGCCCTGATGGACGTGGTTTCCTGTAGCACTGGCCGAGTTTGCAAATGGCACCTGCGCAGGTCAGGGTGATGGGATCACCGAGGGAAGGGAAGTGCCCTTCCTGGTACAGTATTTCTATCTGTTCCCTGTACTGAAGAACCGCGGTCCCAGCACAAGGCTTCTCGCGGCACTGGTCGCTGCTCCCATGCCCTCACCCCCTTAGAAAATCCCAGATCCACCTCTGGTGGGAGGTTGGGGAGTTCAGCACTGCCCAGGAAGGTTACTCCCAAGGCCGGGCTCTCTAGGGTACACTGCAAACCTCCCAGTTTGCTGGAAAGCCCCCTCGGGGAAGGGATTTCTCCATGTGGCTACAGAGCAGGAGGTGCATCTCCCAACTCCCTGCTGTTAGGAAGGCCAGGCCTCATGCCAGGATCCGAGAGCCGTAGTGGGGCTTTAGCTTTCACCAAGTGGCTTGACCCATGCCGTGAGTCTCCAGGCTCAGCTGCAGCAGCATCTGAATGCATGAGCTCACAATTAATCGAGTCATTTGCTCAGGAGGACTCGGGAAGGCCCAATGGGTGTTTTTCCCCACCAGGAGGCTGGGCTTGATAGCTGTTAGGCATCTCATGGGGCGGTTCTGTGGTCACAAAGGGGTCCTGCCTGTGGGAGGCAGGCCCTGGTGCTGCCCAAAGGAAGGCTGCTGGGAGGGGAGACGCATGCTTCATTTGGCAGTGTGCAGCCAGCAGCCATGGATGCTGGAGATGAGAGATGCCCAGGGGAGGTTTTCTGCCTCCTGTCTGGCTTCTCCTATCTGGCACTGGCCCACGCGCCAGTGAAACATGTCACTTTTAGGCACAGAAGTCAGCGCTGCTTTTGTAACGTCCGTCGCCAAGCAAGCTGAGAACCGTCCGACGAGGCTGGGGGATGCCCAGGGAGCTGCCCCGAGCCCTTGCTCTGCAGAGTGACCCCGCACCTCCTGTGGCTCCCCTGGCAGCGTGCAGCCACTCCAGCCCTTGCTGAGCCCTGACCTGGAGCAGCCACCTCCCACTGGGCAGCAGCACGATGTGGCTCCGTGGCTGCAGCTCCCTCAGACCTGGAGCTCTGCTAAAGAATCAGGGCTCAGTCTGCTTGGGGCCATGGTGCCTTGGACAGACGGGGCCAGTTGCTGTGGACACTGCTCCACTTGGGGCCACAACCTCTGCTGATCAGGGCTGGCTTGGAGCCAGCACCCATGATTTGCCAGGGCCCCCTTCTCCTCTGCACCATGTTCGTTTTAAATGGCAGATTCGAGAGGCAACCAGTGCTGACGGTGCTGTGACCGCCATGGGCAGCTTTGGGTGGAGCTGGGGCGCTTCTGGGCACAGCAAGCTGGCTCCACTTTGACTCCAGGCAGCCCTGAGACCCCATCTCCTGGGAGTGGCACCAAAGCCTCTAGGAAGGCAATGCCACCAGCAGTGACAAGGGGACAAGAGCCAGGAGGTAGGTTTTAAATATGTTTATTCGTTAATTTACATAAAGGTATATATTTGGCTTTATTTCTCTCTTCTTATACTCTGAGATTTGCAATCAGCTGCTCTTAAAAAATAAAATAGTAATTTGCTTCTGAAAGAAATCAGAAAACTATTTCATACTTCTCCCTTGTATAACAAGAAATCATAGACAGACCCTGGACCTCGCGCGGTAACAGTGATTGTAAGTGCTGGTTTACACACCAAGAAAGCCAACGGAGGAGAACCAGATAACCAGGGACTTCAGCGTGCCAGACGGTGGCCACTTTGATCAGCCAGCAGCTTGCACTGCTGTGAGGTTCCCTTCACGGCTGGTGCGCAACTGAGACAAGCAACTCCCGGGTCCAGCCCTTCAGCCTTCACGCAGGCAAGCAGGCAGTGGGTTTGAACAGGCCAGGCCCTGGGAGTACAGGCTCAGGAGGCATGATGGTGGTGGGGAACAGCTCTGCACTTTGGTTGCAGTGTTTGCAGGTGTCTGGCTGCTTTGAACCAGCTCTTTCCCCTCTCCCTGTGCAGCAGCGGCCCTGCTGCCTCAGCAGTGGCCACCCGGGTGCCAAGGCAGCTGTTGGCAGCAGAGGAGGAATGCTTTTGGGTAAAGCGGTCAGGAGTGAAGCACTCGCACTGCTGCAAACAGCTGTCCTGGCTGGGGGCATCATAACCCTCCCCAGGCTCCTCGTGAGCCCCACCCCATGCTGCTGATGAATGCAGCAGGCCAGCACCCCATCTTCGGCCCCTACCCTGGAAATGCCATAGCAGCCAGAGACTGCCGAGATACTAAACGGAGCATGGAAAGCATTACTGCTGACAGGCTGAAGACAGGAGACTGAAGGTCACTGAGGAAGATGGTCACAGCCCTGAGTGGTGGTAGGTCTGGCCTGAGCCCCCCCGGGAAGGGAGGGAGGCAGCAGGGTGTACTCAGCGGCAGCCTGGCCCAAGCTGATGTGGAAGGCGTTAGGTCCCGGCTAAAGTGTTCCCAACCTGGTCCTTAGTTTGAGCTGCTAAACATCCTTCAAGGCCAACCCAGGACCCAGGGGCCTCACCAGAAATGCAGCATCACTGATGTGCTGGAGGCAGCTTCAGAGCTGCCCCCTGCCCCACCCAGTGTAGGGGGGACCCATTTAATTTGGCTAAAAAAGCCCATTCCAGTAAGTGAGATGGGCCTAATACAGAAACTGCCCCAAGCTCGTTCCCCGAGCTGTGACGGATGCTTAAAGCATGTAAATCAGAGCAAAGTGTTTCCAAACTGAGGTGATGAGTGTAAGCAGCTCAGCGCTGCGCAGCTGACACGTTCTGCTTCCATCCTGAGCTGGGCTCATAAACCCCTGCCTCTGTGGATAAGTGGCGCAGATCTCAGCGGGGGGGGGGGGTTAGAGACTGGGGCATTCAGCAAGATCTCTGCAGGCAAATGAAAGCATGGCTCTCCCTCATCCCTGCAGCAACTCCTTCCACCAGCAGAAGCCAGCTTACGAACACATGCCTGCAAACCAGAGACATGCACAAGGCAGTGCTAATGGCTTCTGCAGTTTGGGCTTATTTAAGTGACAGGATCCTGTTGGACCATCTGGATCCTGGTACAGTGACAGCTGCTGGGTTGGTTGGTGGTTCTGCTCTGACTTTTTGGAAATTCCTCATGGGCAGGAAACCCCCAAGAACTCGAGCGCTTTGCCCAAACTGTCACAAACGGAGATCCTCCCCCAGCAAGCTGCACCCAGCACCAGGGGAGGGAAGGATAGTTGAGTGCTACTTAGCATTGGCCCCAGACAGCCTCGTGCAGGGCACAGTGCTTGATGTGGTTACCACAAAACATAGGGAGGTTCAGCCGTTTGTCAAAGCAGGATGGAGAGAGATCCTGCAGGCAAGTGGGTCCATTCTACAGATGGGAAAGTGGAGCTGTGGGACAGACTGGCCTACTGTTGTGCACTGGCAGAGCTCGGACTAGGACCCAGGTGTTACCGTCGTGTACAGCTTTACAACAAGGAGATGAGACACTGGCACATGATGGCACCGGGAAGGAGCATGCACGGTTCTCCACCCCTAACCTCCCTTCTAGTGACCTGCTCCTCTTCTGAGTGGGACTCGACTTGGTTAATCTCAGGTGTGGTCTGAACCCCAGAGACTCTTCACCTGAATCATCTGGTTTCCCTCTCAGACAAGAGATCTGTATTACAAGCTTGAATGGGAACAGCTGAAAGAGCCCATCTGGGGCTAGAAACAGGTGGCTGCCAGGCCAAGCCCCCTTCACCTGCAGGCAGAGAAGGGCTGTTTACAGCACTGTCACCTTCGTCCAACCCATCTTTGGTTCTCCCAGCCGCCTGCTTTATGGTAGGCCCTGAGTCCTGCTCCAAGCGTTTATGGGCCGCTGGGGTTGGGCTGTGGGCCCTGACACTGAATTAAGTCTCCATTCACTTGCACCAAGGAAAAAAGTACGCGAAACATCTCGCTGCCTGGCTTTGTGTTTCTAGGAAGTGCAGTCACCACGTTCCAAAGTAGCTTTGCCTTCCTGCCGAGGAGAAGAAAGAAAACGCTGCCAACTGAAGGTGCATCGTATAGGCTCTTCATCCCCACCAAGTCCATGGGAACGAAGTCTCGGCACATGCCAAAGCCCTGCCTTTGACAGGCGTTAGCTGGAACAGCCGGTTTCCGAGTTACAGCCTTACCCTCCACGCCATTAAGCACTTCAGACAATAACGGAGGAAACGCTGCTAATCTTCCTTTTGGCCTCTGAGATTAAGTGACTAATTGTTTTCTTTTACGGTGTAACAGGGAACGGCTTAATGAGAGTGAGAAATTCCCATCCTTCCAAAGCCAGGCATTTGGCTGCCAGACTGCAGCGCTGACATTTCCCTCGACCAGAGTAAATAACGGCACACCGTGGCACAAAGCATTGTCTTGACTTTGCTTTGCTTATTATTTTAGCTGAACTTGAGTGGCATTTGCAGTTCCCTAGGGGCCAGCAAGTAGTAGTGGTTGGATTCCTGTCTCCAATTGTTTGCCTGACCCACAACTTATTTTTTAAGCTGACTGAAGTAATCTGGGAAGGGGCTGCCTTTGAGGAAGAGTCCAGTAGGACTGCAGAGGGAGGAAACCTTTAGCCCTCTATCGATGCTGGTCTTGAAAAATATGGAAGTGCTGCTGGGATATTCTGCAAGGTATTCTGCAGAATACCCCTGCTGGGAGTGCAGCAGGGGTATTGTGCAAGGAAGCCAAAGTTGCTACAGGGCTTGGAAGTGGAAGGGGTGGGTGGACCCCGACTGCTTTTTACGTAGATACCCGTGCTCTTTGGGGATGCTGGCCAATTAAACAGCACTCCTCGTTGTATTGGAGAGGACGAACCTAAGCCATGTTCTCCAGACGGCTAGCTTGTAACATTATTAAAGGCATATCCAACTAACAGGGTTGGCGATTCCTTTGCTAATCAGGTGTGGTTTCCAAAAGAACTAAGTGCTGGGCATATGCTAGGAAACTCAAGGAAAGTGCATCTACTTAGGAGACCCGAACCAGGTGGTTGGACAACTGTTGCCACTAGCAACCTTGCGTCCTTTATTGGGACCATTTGTACTTGCCTCCTCCTGCCACAGCTGTAACACACCTGCCGGCTCACTGTAAACGTGCCTGTCTGTCATGTGCGAACCAAAGATGGGTTGGAGAGGCCCAAATACAAATGAGCCTGTGACTACCTAGAGCTCTGTTTTTAGCCCATCACACCAGTGAATTAAAACCATGCCACCTGCACCACTGTACAGATCAAAGTGACCTTAAGTACTCCAACAGATGGAGTAAACAAGGACACACTACCATCCTTGTGGAAATGCAGTTGCTGGATAGGGATAAATACTGGGAGCAAATCATTTGCAGCTGCAATAAGCTAATGATGTCGTATGATATCCATATAAATGACCCAACACCTTCAGTGGCACAGCAGCACTGCCGTACCAGGCTCTGGGTACAGCAGTTCCTTCACATGTGGATTTTGGTATTTTAGAGGCTTGTAAACCTTCTGGGCAGGGTAAAACAAAATGGGTTAAACAAAATAAAAAGCCATTACATATAAGTGGCCAGGACTTTCCTGGCCTTGCCATAACAGTCCCACCTGGTGCAGTGAGAGACTTCTCCTTCCAGCAGCGATGCAGCCCTGTGCCAGCCCCGGGGCTGCTCCCGTAAGCAAAGTGCTGTTGCGTGAATGTCTCTGCCACCTTTTGGGAGTGCTACCCTGGAGCCCTTTTTGGAACCAAGGCTGCAGTGCCAAGATGCACAGAGAAGTGGAGCTTTTCATGTCCTGCCATTGCACTGGCCGCTTCAGATGCCCAAAGTTTAAATAAAACTATTTATCTAGCTATAGAGATAGAGATCTGATATGTGACGTCTTCAGCAGAGATAAAGCATCTGAGGATGTTTAAATAATACTAAAAATCTGGGCTGAGCCTTCAGTGTCGAGCGAGAGGCCATGATGTACAGAAGAGGTCCCCACCATTGCACGGTCTCTGGCCAAAGGGGTGGTCGCGCTGACAGCAGGCAGCATTGAGCAGGAGCTGCCCTGTAGGTCATGTGGACTTCTTCACTGGCTAACTCTAAAACCGTATACACAAGCTACAGTCGCTCGCTGGGGCGTAGTGCAGGAGCGGGGTCCCGCAGGCAGCCCCTTCCAAAGTACGGCAGTCTGGGGAAACCCATCAGTAGCCTTGTGTGCACAAGCACTGGGATCCAGGCCACCTCTTCTAGCTTGACCCTGGAGGTAAGAACAAAGGGATTGGTTTGGTGTTGGAGAGGACTTTGGCTGCATCACGGAGGTCCTGCTTGTGTCTGGTACTGGTGCGTTGTTCCCAGCCGGGGCCGTCAGCATGGAAGCCAGAGTCCTTTGTGTCAGCTACAAGTAAGTAAAGGGAAATGTCTGTCAGCATGAATAAGTCCAGGGTTGGAATTTTGTATTCCTGAGCTTGCAAAACAAGCCATGGAGGCTTCGCTTAAAAGGTTGAGATGAACAGACTCGGAGAGGATGAGTTGGGGGCGGTGTACCACTAACTACAGCAGCACTGTGAAAGGGTGGCCACCATCTCCCTCTGCACAGATGCAACTATGGTATAAATGTGCTTATGCTAATAAGGGTTTCTGCTCTAGGGGAAAGAGAAACTCTACTGCTCTAAGACATCACCCCATAGTCTGGCTGGGCCCAGATGCTTGGGTCAGATTGGTGCAAGGGGCTTGGTGGAAAAACTCATCACAGGGATGACATCCTGCTGTGCAAGCTGCACCATTGTTTAAGCACATGCATATGAAGGGTAGGAAGATCAACCAGCAGGGAGGGAGAGGTGGACAGGGCAGGGCTCGCTCTTTGCCACAGCTAGTGCCCCGCAGCTCAATTTATACCTATGGAAACTGGCCCACTGTCTGTACTGCGGGACACCCACGAAAATGTCCTTCCAGTGACTGTGTCAAATCAGAGCTCAGCCCTCATGTTTGTCCCAAGAGGCCAAGGGATGGGAGAGCTTACTGGTGTGTTAAATTGCTCACAGGCTGAGAGAAGTCTTATTAGGAGCCTTCTGCTACCATCAGCTGGGAATGGGAAGGGTGCGTTTCTAATGCAGAACAGCCAGTTCAGGCCTGGAAGACATGACAGGTTTGACAGATGCCCTTCACATCACCGCTCCCGCAGTTCAGGCATTGGGCTCTGGGCCGTCGTGAGTTTGCACATTGTGAGGTTGAATTACCCTCTGCCCTGCAGGAATTGCTGGGCTGGGTTCTGCGGCCTGCTTTCTGCTACTTGTGGCCTTAGAAATCTGCCTATGGGGTCCAGGAAGACTTCCCCCGGAGGACGTATCCCTTTCTTCATGTTGCTTAAATCTAGAATGACTCCATAAGAAAGCAACCCTGATGTGCTGGACTTCTTCAATGAGCACCATACTTTCATTCTGCCGCAGATGCAGCCTCCGATCGTATCCACTAACATTTTCTCCCAATCTGAGGCCTTGAGGATTCGTTAACCCCATATAAAAGCTGCTACGAAATGGCATTAAGGTGGAGTTAGACTTGCAGCCCAGGGAGTGAACGGTACGTGCTGGGCTGTTGGAGGCCTATCCTCTACCCTGATCTATTCCCCTCTGTGGAAACAACATCTGCTGTGCTCAAGATTATATTACACCAGTTCCCCGAAAAGGCCACTGCTAATTGTGTTACTGAACGTGTTCTCTCAGTGCATTTAAGTTTACAGGAGGGGCGGGGGGAAAAAAAAAAATCTTTAAAAAAAAAATTTAAAAATCGCTTAATGAATTTTGGCAACAGTCAGAACTGGGAAGCGTTTATCATTCGCTGCGGCTCCGAGCTGCAATTGTGTGACTGTCAGCTAGCGATAAGAATAGTGTTGGTGAAAGGGGGGGTCTGTGTCTGGCCTGATGCCGAGGCCTAGGAACCGTCACTCAGTATTGAGACCCGCAGCATAGGGAAAAATCCCAGTAGGAGCAAACAGCAAAGTCTTGCACCATCACAAAGCATCTTTCCACGGGTTGGTTTGGCTCTGCAGTGCAATTAGGGATGCTCGCGTGGCAGTAAGCGGACGTCGGGTTAAGAGCAGCGCAGCGGCCGGTTTAATGTGTGCAGGAAAATGGCAGGAGGGGGTCGGGAGCCTGCAGTCTAGTGTAAGACGGCAGGTTAGGGCGATACTGGTCTCCCTAGTCCTGCTCTGGTTTGTATTTGGAAGGTGCTTCAGGACAGCAAGGACTTGAAATGCCTTTCAGGGCATGTGCTGCTACAATCCAGCATTAGGATTACACCAGGCTACCCCCATTCCACGAGACCAGAAAATGAGCGAACCGGTACGTGCTTTCATAGTGCACTAAGTAGCTTAAAATCAGGGAAGCTGGCTAGGTGCGTGGGGACAGACGGCTAGTACAACGCAGCCTTACTGGAAGGGGTGTTAAATTGCCTCGTGTTGTGTGTGTGTGTGTGTTTAAATTACAAGAATGACTTTACCACTCAGCCTGCAGGAAACCCTGGAGGGGTCTGGCAAGGGCGTAAGACTCTCATAAGTACTAAGTAACTTGATGAACTGGGTTTTCTGGGTAAGCAAAGGCTGAAGACAGATCCAGAGGCTCTGCTGTGGGGGGAAAGTATCTCAGCACTGGGTGTGGGGTGCAGGAAGGGAGCGAGCTGGGGCTACAGCTGGGGCTCTGCTTTGATCGGACTAGGAACCGAGCCCCTGACCCCTTGCCAACCCTGGCACCCAAGGAGACGCTGCTCTGACATGGTACAATCCCTCTGCCAACCTGCCGTGGGAGAAGCAGGGGCGCTGCCTCCCCAGCGCCAGGCTCACAGAAGCCCCACAGTCCCCAGGAGAAACGTTTTCTATGGTGCTGTCACTCACCATCTCAGACTTTCACAGAGGCTGGTGGCATCATGAGTTGATTCACCCTGGGCGGAGGAGAAAGCAAAGCATGTCAGACAAGCCACCAGCGCTGAAGTGACAGAGCATCAATTAGCCATATCTACCGGGCTGCCCCAAATTGCTGTTGATCGCATCTCTAAGTGCAATCGCGTCCTAGAAAGACAGGAGTGAGTGTGCGTGAGCATTAGCGTGTTAGTGCCTGCATCCCAGTGCGAGCGAGGGGCTCGCCGCCCTCACGCTGGTGTCTGGTGGCAAACCTGACAATCACTACCGCTCACTCAGGAAAGCTGCTGATGCCAATTGACAAGGATCCAGCGATCCTCCGCAGGCGTTCAGATGGGCAACAGCTGGCTGTTTGCTCCGTGGCTCCTGAGCGGCCTCCTCCTGACCGACGCTGCGCACGTAACCTGTCGCCACTGGTAACGGTTCGAGTTAAATAAGTCCATCGTCTTTCAGTTGCTGGGCTCAAGGACCCGTTGCTCTTCACAACAGATCTCAACGCTGGGTCTGATCCACCAGGCCATTTATCTGCCCTGGGCCCAACAGCGTTGTCATACACCATGTGCAAAGCAGTGCTGACATGCAGGATAGGGAGGGACCTGCTCCCCTTTCACCAGTCCCCCATCCTCCTCCCCGGGGTGCATCGCTAAAAGGGCAGCACGGTCTAGGCGTGGGACCCCTGACCACCGGGCTGTGCTGCTCGCGTGAATCGCTTCACCCCTCTCTTCCTTCTCTCCCATCCTTTGCCCTTCTTGTCTGTTTAACCTTTTCCAGCATGGATGTCCTTTACCAGACACTGCCTGCTGCCACAGTTAAAACAGAGCTAGGAACTCCCCCTTCAGACTCAGGACCCACCCTGATTTTCCACTTCAAATGCCCCCAGACCCAATGGGAGCCCAGATCCTCAACACTGCTCGCAAAAATGTACGGGAGTGAAGTCCCCAAATACTTGAAGAGAGTTTGGGCCCAAGGTCACACAAGAAGCCGGTGACGAGACAGGGACTTGATGCCACGTTGCCGAGTCCCAAACTAGCAGCTGACCCTTTTGTCTTACTTAGGTTCGGCATGGCTTCCTGCCGCGCATCCGACACGGCCTTTGCTTTCAGCAGAGTTCGCAGGAGGCAGCAGAGGCTCAACCGTGGAGCGTTTCTTGTCATTTAAGAAGCAAAGCTGCCAATGCCAAGTAGCCGAACGGCGGTGGGGTGCCTCATCGGGACCTGAACTAACCTAAGGCCCCAGAGTAACCTCGATCCTCCGATCTGTGCCACTTCCCTTCCAAACAAGGCTTGTCGCTTCCCATCGGAGAGCAGCTGCTGACTACACTCTGGCTCCCAAACTGTCCTGTTCACTCCAGTGTTTTCCCACAGATAAGAAAGTTTCCATCCCTGGAAGGGACGGAGATGGGAACTGTTCGGTCGTTTCCTGGCGGGGAAGAAACCGTTCCAAACTGCCTTTTATAGATGTAGGTTTGTGCTGTCCTTGTTTTTACTGCCATCTCCAGCAGCTAAAAATGAGTCTCTTCTGGTTTTTGTTTTTTTTCCCACCCCCATCTAGAAAACCAAATATTTCTTCTGCACATGATCAAACCAATTCCATGCTGCGTGACAGCATCTATTATTATCTAGTATTTATACATTTACCTATTTAATTGAAGGTTACATATGCCAAAACTGTCAAATAGGGTATTTATCGTCTCTGAAACAGGTCTAATTTTGCAGCACCTCAGCACCGCCTCCGATAGAGACTGTCATGCAGAAGGAAAAAACCAAACAAACCCTCAACTGTATATTGAGTTGGCTGGAGAAGAGAGAGGACCTTTTGCAGGTTGTCTTCTCTCTGCTCCACCCACATTTGAGCTTAGTTCCCTCGTGACCCACAAAATCCTTGGCTGGGTTCTTGTGGCCTCACACACAAGCCATTTCAAGAGCAAAATCTCTTTCAAGCTTCACATTATTCAAGGGCTGCAAATCCTTGTAACCAAAGTCAAAGCACCAGAGCTTTGTACCTGCGCAATTGCTGCTGGCTGGTGCTAAGTTTTTAGCATGCTTTTACTCTCCAAAATGCCCGGTTCTCCCCAGTCCAGTGGAGGAATCTGGCAAATGCTCTGCAGACTCCCTCTCTCTCCCTCCCCACAACAGGGCCCCTGTCTAAAACCTGCCATCTTGTCTTCCAGCAGCCTCCATCCCTCCGCAAAAAAAAATTGCCCGATTCCCCACCTTCATTGCTTGCTTCAGAGACACCAACACAGCTGGCAACAGTAAGTGCCTCTGGCGGGAGAAGATTGCTGATAGCGGGGGGCCTGTGGCAGACAAAGCTGTAACAAGATGCAATCACCGAAGGCTGAACCCAGACAAATTCTGATGAAAAATGAGACCCAATTGTTCTTTACAGTGAGAACGACAAGCCACCTTCCCCAGCTGTAGGGGATACTCCATCAACTGTCTTGTAAATTATGGACTGACTCAAGACATACTGGCGAAATCCTGTGGCCTGCATTAGAGGGAAGATCAACCCCAGCGACCGTAACAATCCTCTGGGGGAGGAGGGACGCCCTCTGAAAAGCGCACTGCCTGAATACTAGAGATCATTCATTTGCTCCGGTCTTTTTGAAAACCCCTTTTCCCTACACAACTTAGCTAGCAACAACTCTCGCTGCCCTGTGTCTGTGGCTTTAATTGCCCCGGGTGGGTGATTCAAGTACCCTGGCGTGCGCCGTTCAGCAAATCTGGCCCCTGGAAGTCCAGGCAGTCGCATTCACTTCTAACAGAGTCCTTCACCCGATCCCGCACAGCAGAGACGGAAGTGAAGTCAACGTTGCTCACAACGGCAGCCGCCGGACGCGGCAGCGCGCGGGGAGCAAGCGGAAGGGAAGGAAGCTGTCTGGATCAGTAGATAAGCTCAGGGAGCTCATCGTACAAAAGCACGGCTCACGCCGTTCTCAGCTTCCGGTCTCTATCCACTACCTGTACCTGCCGAAATAGGCCCAGCATTTTGTGGCAGGAGGTCCAGGGCAGCATCTTGGGGTTTTTTGGTCTCAGGACTGGCACGGCAAATCTGTCTGATAAGTGAGGACACTTGTCTTCCTGGGCCATAAGTAAATGCTGTCACCTTGGCCACCCAGACGCTCAGGAGCCCAGCTTACCTGGAGCTGCCGAAGAAGGTGGGGGCACCCTGGGGGAGAAGGACAGGTGTCACTGTGGGGGTGGGACTGTCCCCTGTAGTTTAGGGATAGGGGAGTGTAATCCTGAAGACCTTACTCTGTGCAGCGAGCTGAATTTCTCAGCCTTGTAGCAGCTGCAACAAGCTTTTGAAATGGGCCATTGCCCGTGGAAGCAGAGTGCGGACACAGCCGGAGGGTACGGTTCTGGGAAATGGCAAGAGGCGAGACGGTACTGGCGTGCCTACATACAGCCCAGCCCAAGGGGAGCCAGCAGTAAGGCCCTGCTCTTCCCACAGCTGTTTTCTGTGGGGAACACCAGCAGCTTTCTAGACGCTCAGTAGTCAGCCCGGCTAGTTGATCTGAAAGACCGTCTCAGCTTGTGACACCAACGGTGGCAGCTGGCTAAGCAACACGTGGTCACTTTGTTAGGCTAGGGCTCGCCGTGTCCTCATTCAAAACTGCTCAGCTCCCCAGCAGCGGAGATCCACTCGTCTCCCCAACCTCAGTCAGTCTGGAACGGCCCCACGGCCCTTCCTTAGCTCTCAGTCCTGTTTGCAAGTGGCCACCGCCGGGTATCAGGGAGGTGCGAGTGGTTGCTCCACGTGAACACGCATGCATACAGCCATACCTAGCCCTGTGCTCGACTAAAAGCTCACTGGATGGGGATTTACCAACCTTTTGCTTTATTTCCCACAACACTGCTCCTACCTCCTCCTCCTCTTCCTCTTCCCAGAGGCCTTTGCGTGGGTGGGTCAGTCTCAGTTAATTCCAACAAATTTCACTTAATGCTGCATATTGCCAACACAAAGCCACATACCAGTGCCAGGCTCGGTTGGGGATTGAAACAAGTCCCCAGCTTTTGACCAACCTGACTTTTAAATCCAAGCAGCAGCAGAAACCACGCTCCACCATCTAACGCAGGGACGGGCAATTATTTCAGGCGGAGGGCCACTTACTGAGTTTTGGCAAGCCATTGAGGGCTGCACGACAGGCAGCCAGGGGCAGATAAATGTTGATTTTCTAAATTTTTTAGGGGCCCCATGGGCTGGATAGAATGGCTTGGTGGGCCACATCCAGCCCGTGGGCCGCATTTTGCCCACCCCTGCTCTAACTGCTGTGCAGGTGACAAGCTCAGTGCATCAGTCAGTGGCCAGGCATTTCCAGCCCCCAAGGCACGAGGTCAGACGCGCTCGCTGCAAAGCTCCAACTGCACGGTGTTTTCAGTACGGCAATTTAGGGTCCTTCAAAGCTCTCCTCCAGCTGGGACGTGGCAGAGCTTGGTGCAAGTCCCCGTTGCACCACAGCTGAGCGCAGTACCCGTGTCCTACCTGTTGAGCTGCGTTGCAAGGGCGCTTCTCTACTGCACGGGGTGCTGAAAGCCCAATATGCTGAAGGCTGTGGTGTGCTTTAATGCTTTGGCAAGGACAGCCATTAACAGTACAAGCTGTGAATTGGAGCCTGTGCAATTCCTGACCAAGATTCAGGAAAAACTAAAGCCAGCCTGCTCCTACGGCATCTTTGTCAGATCTCTGCCTGACCCCCCCAGGGCTTTGGAGAGCTTGGCACAGAACTTGTGGATATTTATTCCATACAGACCAGGTTAACACCACACATGACTATGCACCCCACTACCTCAGTAGCTTGAGGCTCAATACAGCATGCAGGGAAAACCCCGTCAGTGCAGGAGAGGTGAATGGTGATTACGCAGCAACGCGTGGCAAGAAGCAGTGATTGGTTGCGGTGAGAGAGGCAAGGAGGCTCGGTGAGCTGCTAAAAATAGTCCATCCACTAACAATTTCCTGATGCATCGTGACAGATCCTTCCAGCCTCCCAGGAGCGGGTCTGGTTGACGAAGTTGAGGACAGT